AAGGTCTGGCCAGACATTCGGACAGGGCAGCTTCAGTCCCACTGCACTGAACGTTGTCCAGCCAAATGGGGCCCGACCCCATGCCAAAGTGAGCTGCGCTGTAGGCTGAGACTGCCGTCCCACAGCCCAGCTGCCGGCACACTACGTTGGCGTCGGGGAAGCTCCAGTCATCATCACACACAGTTCCCCACTGGTGGTTGTGCATCACCTCTACTCTTCCAGAGCAGTGATTTGGGCCATTCACCAGGCGGAGCTCTGCAGGACCGATGCGGACGGTCGTAGGGTGGCTGGATGAGTCTATAGAGGGCACGAGAGGTGTACCGTGAAACCTCCCTTGCCCCTCATTTCTGCAGGATGATTCTACACTCCACTACAGTTGTTGGCTGTGCCCATTTGCTACCAATGTGCAGCCACCTCGAGACCAAGATGGGGATGATGCCACATGGTTCTAGCAACCCATGGTCTTTCCAGCTGTGGCTGGAGGTCCTGAGGATGCTGGGACAGGAGAAGGAGGAATGTTTTTTTTTTCCTGGTGTTCATGGGGCGCCATGTCCTCTTTGCAGGTGGAGGTGACAACTGAGGGGGCTCAGCGCACCTATGTGCTCTCTGTTAGGACAATTCTGGCACCAGGGACTCCAATAGCTACCAGTTGCTATGAGTGCCTGCCCCTTGATCAGCCACCAAAGCGCCAAGCTTTTGGAGCTCCAAGCTTTAGGAGCCTCACAGTTTGTGGTCGTAAAAGAACCAGCTGATTGTGGCTCGCCAGAGGCAAGGGCATGGAAACCATCCTGTCTCTCGTGTTGGTGATGGGGAGGAGGAAGCTGGATGTCTCCTCCTGGCCATTCTCTCCCCTGCCTAAGGCCAGCATACAAAACACAAGGGGTCTCCTAGCCCTGCCCACCTCCCCAGAACATGCAACCAAAGCAAGGCAGGCAGGGTCCTGCTCACCATGGAGGTTTGTGATGTGCAAGGGGTCCCTACACCTCCCCCAGAGGCGCTTCAGCATCTCAGGAAGGTGGTGTTAGCACAGATAATGTTTCCAAGCCTGATTCCCAAATTGCTCACTAGTTCGCAGTCCCTTGTACAGGACAAACAACAAAACCATCCCTTGCTGGGGCCATGGGTGCTCTGTGCTGCACGGAGCTTTGGGAAAACTGGAGAGCAACGCTCTTTGTGAGGGAATTGCTTTGCAGACCGTGTGTCATTGTCCCTCCCTGCCCCATAATTTCTGCAGGACATTACTTGAGCACACCACACCGGCATCTTCGCCGTGGTGGCAGTTGTACTTTCCCCAGCCCTTCATGCTGCAGTAAGACAGGGCCACCTCCATCCCCGTGCAGTTGATGTTGTCCAGCCAGATGGGACCAGACCCTGCCCTGAAATGCTCGGCCGTGGGTGCTGGCAGCACCACGCCACAGCCCAGCTGCCGGCAGACCACACCAGCATCCTCCATGCCCCAGTGGTCATCACATACTCTTCCCCACAGGTTCTTGTGGAAGACCTTGACCCTGCCAGTGCAGCAGTGCAGGCCATCTGACAGGATGAGGGGAGCCCGCTGGGAAGCAAAAGAGTCTGCAAGAGGGACACAGAGAGGGTCCGGTGCAGAAAAGCAGCACCGGGAAAGGCTGTGTTGCTTGCACAAAGTTCACGGAGCCTCTGCAAACGGTGGTGGCTTATGTGAGCCACAGACATAGAATCATAGAATCATTTAGGTTGGGAAAGACCTTTAAGCTCACCCAGCCCAACTGTTCCCCTAACCCTGCCATCCCACCACTAAACCCTGTCCCTAAGCACCTCGCATGCCCAGGTTTTAAATACCTCCAGGGATTGGGACTGAACCCCTTTCCTGGGAAGCCCCTTCCAATGCTTGACAGCCCTTTCTGTGAAGAAATTTTTCCCAATGTCCAACCTAAACCTGCCCTGGTTCAACTTGAGGCCATTTCCCCTCATCCCATTGCTTCTCCTTTGGCTCAAAGATAAACCAAAAAAAAAATAAAAATAATAATAATCCAAGCCCAGGAGAGAAAACGCTCTGCAACCCCCTTTTTTGAATGAGAATTATCTTTAAAGGGGCTTCAGGTATTTTTTTTGCTTAGCACTCCCAATCAGCGAAAAGGAAAACACTGCTGGCTGGACTGAAAACTCCAGGAAACCGAATGCAGGGAGTAGGCACCAGCCATCTGATGGAAAGAGGGCTCTGTCCGTGTGCGACCTGGTGCTTTAATTAGAGATTTGCACGATGTGATTGGGAGCCTGCGTGGCAAAATGGCTCATGGCCCCTAGCCGAGTGGAGCTGAGTCTTAGAGGAGGGCATTGCGGAGGCTGAAACTGCTGCAAGGCAAATATGAGGCGTTTAATTGCTGTGGCTGCAACCGCTGCAGCGGCTGAGCTGCCGTGGGGTGCCTGGGTTGGGGCCTGGGCTGCAGCATCTCCTGGAGAAGGGGATGCAAAATGAGGCAGGCAGAGGCAGAACAAAAAATAAAAGCACCTTGGCACCTCCCTTGCAGCACAATTGGTCACCTCCAGGAAAGGCTCCACGTCTGCAGGGCGCAGAGCAGAATAAATGCTCTTGTTTGTGCTGGGGGGAAGAGAACTTTGTGCCCTTTGTAAACAAGCTGGCTGGCCCTGAAGAGGTGGCCAACACAAATAAGCAATTTCTGGTCTTGACTGTCACTAGTTGGTAGGGCTCCAAGCATTTCCCAACCACTCTGTGCAAGGCCAGTGACACAGAGGCCAGGATAATTACCCAGCTAATGAGGTCTCCTTCCCCATCCACTGCTTTCTATTCCTTTCAAAGGCTGGTGGGTCAAAGGAAGCTTTGCCCCATCCATCTGCAAGCCCAGTCCTCCCCGATTCCTGCAGATCTCCGACCCTGTCTTTGTCTGAGGATGCCCCATCTCCATGCAAGAGCCACTCACCGCAGAGGCACACCAGGTAGATGAGGATCCCTGCTGCGGCGAAGGCAGCCAGATTGCTGTGCTGGGACAGGAGGTAATGTCCCAAAAAACCCATGCCCATCACCTACGCCTTAGGACAGGTGACGGTCCCAGTGCGAGCTGCAAGCTGAGCTGCGTGCTGTCACTGCCAGGAAGGTGGCGAGAGCAGGTTTGTCCCCTCCTCTGCAGCAGCATGCCCCGTGTTTGCCTGGCGTTCATCCCTCCTCCTGCACTGACCCCTCCTCCCTGCTGTCCCCAGGATTTTGTCCTCTGGTTTTAAGTGGTTTTAGTGACCCCCCAGCACCTAAGCCATGTTTGCTAGGAGGCTCCCCCCGTCCCCAGCTGTGCCTGCCTCATTTCATCCCCACCTCACGGCTCCCCAGCCAGCTCTGGGATGTGGATCAGGCAGCAGGAGGGTTTGCAATGATCACTTACGGAGGTTTGCACCCTCGGGAAAAGCCAAGCCTCATCTTGCAGGTATCCAAAGATCGTAGAATCATAGAATGGTTTAGGTTGGAAAAGCCCTTTAAGATCGCCAAGCCCAACCGTTCCCCTAACCCTGCCATCCCACCACTAAACCCTGTCCCTAAGCACCTAGTCTGCCCAGCTTTTAAATACCTCCAGGGATGGGGACTTGGCCATTTCCCTAGGCAGCCTATTCCAATGCTTGAGAACCCTTTCTGTGAAGAAATTCTTCCTGATGTCCAACCTAAACCTGCCCTGGCACAACTTCAGAACATTTCCCATCGTCCTATCGCCCGTTACCAGGGAGAAGAGGCCGACCCCCACCTCACTACAGCCTCCTGTCAGGTAGTTGTAGAGGGTGATAAGATCTCCCCTCAGCCTCCTCTTCTCCAAACTAAACAACCCCAGATGCCTCAGCCATTCCTTGTAAGACTTGTGCTCCAGACCCCTCACCAGCTTTGTGTCTCTCCTCTGGACATGTTCCAGCAACGCAACGTCTTTCTTGTAGTGAGGAGCCCAAAACTGAACCCAGTATTCGAGGTGCAGCCTCTCCAGCACCCAGGACAGGGGCACAAGATGAACCCCCTGTATACAGAGATACCCCCAGGGTGCTTGCAGAGGGCAAGAAGTCTCTTTTCTCCTGCTAAAATAAGGAGTTTTGAGGGGTTATGTGCATTGAATAGCGTGCTCTGGCTGGAGACTGTCCCAAAGTCACATCACTAAAGCCATTGCACATATAAAACGCACAGCTTGTGCTCTGGGAGTATCACATAATATAAAGAATAAGGGGAGGGTGGCCCACAAACCATGCCATAGCTACCAGGATTAAGCTGCCAACATGCTCAGGTTTTGGGCACCCTGGTTTGTTTTGATTCTCATCCTGAGTTTAAGGGAACTGGGGGAATTTACAAACCGATCTCTGAGGTGGGTGATGGTTTAGCACAAACCCCTGGGTTTGTCCTAAACACCCACATGCTCATACTGTAATTTGGCAGTTCATTGAATAGCCTTGTCACCTACAAGCAGCAGGACGGGGTATCACAGGGACTCTGGGGTGTCTTGCAGGCTTTTGCCTCCCAAGGCTGGTGTTGGAGGCAAGGAGCCTGCCCAGTCGCTGGGTCTAGTGCAAGGAAAGCAGAGCATTGCCGAGCCCTGGGACCAGGACACTGGATTGAGTGGGCTCCTGGCCGTGCCTTCATCAGAGATGATGGAGCTGGGCACATTCATGCCTGGCAGAGGGAGCAAAGAGAGGAGCTCAGCACCTCTCGACACCGCAGCCTCCTTCCCTTCTCAGCTCCTGGCCGGGGAAGAAGGTCACCCATCCTCCAGAGACAAGTCCTCTCCTCAGAGACCCTCCCTAGGCTGTCTCCACTCAAATCCCTCCTGCAGCTCCTGCGACACCAGGCACAATGGACAGCAGGCATTGACATTTGTGAGATGGCCCCATGGGGCGCACCACCCCTCTTTATGACCATGAGATGGAAAATGGCTACATCCCATTCAGTCCATGCTGGGCTGCCGGCTCCCAAGGGCCACGGGCTCCCACAGCTGTGCAAGGAGAGCTGAACCAAATACAAAGAGTCTCAGCAAAAAAATAAAAAAAAAACCAGTCCTGAAAGGATGCTCCAGTGACAAATGTGACCTGGGGAAGGGTGGCCTGAGCACACAGCACTGAAGTCTTCCCTGCTGTGGCAGGAGCCTGCACCCCAGGGCTGAGCTGGGCACTTAGAGAGGGCAGTTTCTGGCCCCACACAGTCCCTGTTGCTCAGATGGATACACACCAGCCCCTATATAAAATCCTTGCTGCTTTTCGGTGGAAGATGACCATTAATTTTCAGCCTTTTGTGTCTGCAAAGTTTAAGCCTTTCCTAAAGAGAGCTCCCCCATCTTTTCAGTTCACCTCTTGTGCCAAGAAAAGGAGCCCCAAAGGCTTCCCTGCCCACCTCCAGCTCCCTGTAGCTTGAACATCATCTTAGGGAACGTTTGTTACCTCCCTGGTAATTACGGTGCAGACCTTGGTATGACACAGCATGGAGGCACGACATCTTGCCCTCATGATTTTTTTGCACAGCTACTAGTACCCTTCAACCTGGAAGTATGAGCCTGGATGGTCTAACAGCTCTTGTGGAGCCATGTAAGCATGATGCCAGAGGAACAGAGTGAGATTGCATCCCTGTAGGCTTGCATCTGATGGGCTGGGTTGTGAAGTCCTGCAAGGTGCAAAATGCATGATGCTCACAAAATCACTGATGTCCAGGGTAAATAAATCATTCTTGGCTAGTAAGACAGCACAGAGAGGGGAAAAACACCCAAACCCAGGACTGTGTTCCGCATTCAGCATTGCTACCCCAGCAGCTGCATTTTGAAACCCCACTCGCTCTGCATTGTTTTGAGTCCAAGAGAAAAGGGGGTTGCGCGTTCGTGCTGTCAGTGGTGGAAGGGTGCAAGAGCTTTGCAGGCACCACAGCTTGGAGAGACTTGGACTGCAAGCCCTGCTGAAATCCCTCATGGACCCATTCTTAAGGGCTCTGTGAAGCAGAGACACGGAAGCAAGTTTGGGATTGGAGGATGCCCATTTTGACCAAGTATTTCACCAAGAGATCATTGTATAACTTACCTTTAACTCTTCCTTACTTTAACTTAAGAGCTAGAGTTAAGTTTATTAAGCTGAGTGGTCTGGTTGACATGCCAGAAGGACGGGATGGCATCCAAAGAGACCTGGACAAGACGGAGAGCTGGGTCTGTGTGAACATCATGAGGTTCAACAAGGCCAAGTGCAAGGTCCTGCACCTGGGTCAGGCCAACCGCCCATATCAATAAAGGCTGGGGGATGAAGGGATGGAGAGCAGCCCTGCGGAGAGGGACTTGGAGGTACTGATGGATGAAAAGCTGGTCATGAGCCGGCAATGTGCGCTGGAAGCCCAGGCGGCCAACCATGTCCTGGGCTGCATCCCCCGCAGTGTGGCCAGCAAAGCAAGGGAGGGGATTCTGCCCCTCTGCTCTGCTCTGGTGAGACCTCACCTGGAGCCCTGAGTCCAGCTCTGGAGCCCTCAGCACAAGAAGGACATGGAACTGTAGGAGCAGGGCCAGAGGAGGACTACAAAAATGATCCGAGGGCTGGAGCCCCTCTGCTATGAGGATGAGCTGAGAGAGTTGGGGGTGTTCAGCCTGGAGAAGAGAAGGCTGCGGGCAGAGCTGAGTGCGGCCTTTCAGGACTTAAAGGGAGCCCAGAGGAAAGATGAGGAAAATGTTTTTAGCAGGGCCAGTTGTGACAGGACAAGGGGTGATGGTTTTAAACTAAACCAGGGTAGGTTTAGACTGGCTATAAGGAAGAAATTCTTTACAATGAGGGTGGTGAAACACTGGAACAGGTTGCCCAGGGAGGTGGTGGAGGCCCCATTCTTGGAAATACTCAAGGCAAGATTGGACAGGGCTCTGAGCAACCTGATCTTTTAAAGGTGTCCCTGCTCCCTGCAGGGAGGTGGGGCTAGATGGCCTCTAAAGGTACCTTCCCAAACGATTCTATGATTCTATGATTCTATGACTCTATGATTCTATGATTATACAGCATTTCCCGCTGGGTCTGAGAACTTCTCGATCCAACCCACCCCTTACGTGGCACGGGAGATGGGGTCACCATGCAAACCACGCTACTTTTGATGGCCTCCAGCCTCCGGCATCTAGACTTCTTGTGTTAAGCGTGTTCCTTTTAGCATCTGCCTTTAGACATGTTGTTCACACTTTTGCCCAATTTCTCTTTGAACTACCTGACAGCATCAGGCCCCACAAACCCACCCTGGGGCAGCAGCTTCCAGAACCTGCCAGTCCTTTGTGCAGCCTCTGGATCCTCTCTAGTTACAGTGCACCCTTCCTGAGACATGGTGGCCAGCACTACAGAAGACGCGGAAGAAGCAGGATCGGGTATTGCAGCAAAATTATACCCTGTGTCTTGTCCTCCATGCTCTTCTTAGGGTATGCAATGTTTTCTTGGGGTTCTTTGGCTGCTGCAGCACACTGGAATGATGATTTTGGTGAACTCATTGGCAGCCAGGTACTGGAAACAGAAAACATTGAAAGTTAGACATGGTGAGCCATGAATTTTGTTGTGTTGCATTGCATGGCTGCATAGCTAGATGGCAGAAAATCACCTTATTATTCGAGGGCAAGCAGTTGGAAGCACTATCCTGTGACTGCCTTGCAGCCTCCAAACTGGCTTGCACCTTCCAGGGAGAGCAAAGAGATCGCGTATGAGCCAAGAGCTGAGTATCACAAAGTGGTCTCTGCAAGGTAAAGTGGGTGAAGCCATTGGGATCCTCTCATGCCGCTTGTTTTTTTCTCTGCTGACTGCTCCCAGTGACTTGTAATGGGAGATTACAGCCCAGATATGTGCACTTGAGCACGCAGGGTCTTTGCAAAGACAGAGGTCTGCGTGTGCCAGCATCTCCATGCTTCAGCCACAGAATCACAGAATCACAGAATGGCAAGGGTTGGAAGGGACCTTGGGAGATCATCCAGTCCAAACCCCCTGCTCAAGCAGGGTCACCCAGAGCAGGGGGCACAGGACAGCATCCAGGCAGGGGTTGAATATCTCCAGAGAAGGAGACTCCACAGGCCCCC